GCCTCTGTTTGAAAAAACAACTATTGGAATGTAGCAAAAAGGCGGAAAATGGACGAAGAAACTTTGTCTTTAGTCTTAGTCCAAAATTAGTCGACACAACTGTATTGATTTTTCCTGAATAAAATACAGAAATTATGTTAATCAACAAAATGTTCATTGGACTTAGTCACAAAGTACAATTACTTCATATTTCAACATACAGTAGCTCTGATTGGCCCTGCCTTCTAGCCGACAAACATACAGTAGCTCTGATTGGCTCTCGCCCACATTTGCTTCTCCAGTTATATACCACGTGTATCTAATCGACTAATAACCAATACATTTCTTCATCATCATTTATCCCCACATGACGTCCAATTTAGTTTTGGTTTAGATTTGTCTCAGAGAGGAAGTTCACTGATTAAGAGTTTGACAAAAATTACGACGGAATTCAGATCGCCATTGTACTGAACGAGAACTCGATTCTGTTTCTCTGCTTCAAACACTGTAGTGAACACCTGCCTGACACTGATGCACGCCGCTGAGAAGGCACGGGAGGAATTTTTCACTTTTATTACCAAATTTGTAAGTAATAAAAACAGCACTTAAAAACAAAGGGAGAACACCAGAGAAAGAACAACAATTAAGATAAGGATAATCGTTGCACTGGGTTGTGATCATCACCGTTATTGTTTTTATTATCCTTTATTTCCGTTAAAAGATTATGAAAATCAATGGCTGTCTGTCCCTCAGGTTTAGCAGCCACTAACCTGCTGCAGAGGCTGGAGGTGGCTCTGCTGGAGCTCGCTCCCTCTCACACACACACACACACTCACTCTACTGCAACACAGACACATTCACATGTGTGTACTTACTGTACAATACACACACACACACACACACACCAATCTCTGATGCAATTGCCTGCTGCAGAGGGAGATTGCTATCAGGGTGAGGAAGGGTTTTAATTGATCTTGGTCACAGTTTAATGTGAGGCACGGATTAGCTGTTATCTGCTGAAGGAAAAAGGGAGAAGGAAGGGTTTGGGGAGGAGATATCACAGTTCCTGACGTTAAAACCCATTGCCCTTGTTAAGAGAGTTTTTGTGATGGGACCCACAGAGAACTGAAAGAGCTGCTGGGAAACTGCTGGTGAGAAGCTGGGCAGTGGAGATGAGCAGCATCGAGCTCAGATTAATCTCAATTTGTCTGTGCTATTCTGGGCCAGATTGTGTCTTTTCTTTTCCACAGAGATACTGCCAAATTTTCAGCCGTGCTTTTAAATCCTCATCCTATTAATAAGCCCTAGTGGAGGACACAGTACATGGCAGGAAAGGAAGACATGTTGGATTTTTGGCACATCAATCAGAAGAGAGCTTACGGTCGGGCGAGAGCTTTTTGTTTTCCCAAAGAAGAGGACGCCGGCCCCCGACCCTCACACACACGATGCCATGATGTTGAGTCCCCACCAAAGACACAGATCCAGAGTTCTAATTAAAATGTGTCACTTACTAAAAACGTTCAGGAGCGAAGAAACATGACTGAAGCCCTTGTTGGGGCAAACTTCTACTGGCTGATTAGCAGACGTGGGTCGAAGCAGCTGTTACGCTGTGGGCTAGTCATCCGAAATTTCTGACGGCTAGACGGTTATTTTTGGTCGCAGGACGTTGACAACGGCCGTCCTTGAACCTGTCCAAGTGTTTTGAAGACACGACTAAAGATATCTCTAGGTTTTTTTTCTACGATAGTCCCCTTAAATACTTCAATAACACTTTTCTTCCTTATCCTGCTTTCCACAGACACCAAAGTACCGCAGTGATCTACGCAAAGGGTCATTTCAAATGTCTAACTTTTCGAATCCCTAATCTGTCTATTTTTTCAGACTCTGAGAGGAACTGAGAGTTTCTACAGGAAACAAAACAGACACACGTGGAGAACAAGCAAATAAACTAAAAAACCATCTGCCTTAGTCAGGGCACGAACCAATGACCTTTGTGCTGTGAGGCAACAACGCTAACTAAGAGTAATATTTTGAAAATCAAATCTAAATATTGTCTTGAAATATTAGGTTTAGTACTTAGTAGCCAGAACACCCAAGTATAATACATTTTAAAAAGGTTTGATAAGGCACAAACAGTCGTGGAGAGTGGCTCCAAACCATGCCGTCACTTCACTTCATTATCCTCTTTTATTTTCAAACATAATCTTCTGCTTTAAATGCCTTTACACCTATATTTTGTTCAGCTTCTCATCTCTCCATTGCTTTTCTGCAATACACTTGGTTCATTTCCATTCACGTAGCTATCTATTTTCTACTAATTAATCCCGCTGGTACTGTTCACCTCCAAGTACTCTGTACGACACGCACAGAGAGGTAAAGTGGTGGCATCCTTACACTGACCACTGCATTATAGACTTCCAATGACACGGTACAAATGGAGGGTTGGAGCGGTTTATATTGAAGGCAGTCCTGCGTGTGTGCCACTCAGAGTGCCATTAAAATGGGTAAAAAAAACAAAAACCAAAAACAAAGCAGGAGAGTTTGCCAGTTGGCAAATCTTTAAAATGAATAAGATAAACAGAAATCGCCACATTGTTAATGTTTTCTTCCAACGAGAACACGGTGAAACGCCTCAGCGTACGAAGAGAAAAATGGAACTGACAGAAACTGAACGGCACAGAGAAACACTCCGAGCAGAAAACAACGATGCATTTGGCAAGTGTTGAAGCAGTTTTGTTTCCTCCGTCCAACGATGATGTGCACAGCACGGAGCTACGCTTGCTTGCTTTTCCTCAAGAGTATTTCCATAGAGTATTTTGGGGGGGAGGGGGGGGGGGGGGGTGTAGACGAGCAGTCCAAATCATCCCAGGCACGGAGCTGTTGCTTCTCCTGGTTCTCTTTTCTCCTCTTGGATAGTTTTCTCGTTCGGCTCCCTCTCCACTGACAGTAGTCTATAGTTCAAGAGCCTCTCAACAGTTCCCCTCACCCCTCTCCCCCCGTAGCTGCCTGCTTTTTCTGAGTTCCCAAGACAACACTTAACCCCAAAGGATGGATGAAAAATCATTGGCAGCCGAATGTTCAATTTTGCCACAGAGGATCCAGTAAATGGGGCGGGATTTGATTAGAGAGGGCGGTTTTGTGGTTTTGTATTAGATGTGTTTGAAACTGTGTTGTGCAAATGGTCAATAGAGTGTACAGTTGGAAAAAAAAAAAAAACCTTCTCCTGCAGGACACGGCCAGAAACATTAAATCAGTCTGTTATATATATTTATATATATTGTACTGTACTGAACCTCTGATTTATTAGGGGCAACAAGGCGAACCTGCGATGACATTCTGTTTATTTTCATTTTGAATGGGCTAATTAAATTAGAAATGTTTTTACCTGCGAGTATGAAGTATTATACTGTGTACTCTCATACCCTCTCACACCTTTATGAGCACCAAACATCCCTGTGCCCCAACTCATTCAGGGCCATAAAAACATATTTATGAGAGCATCAGGCCATTGAGCCACAGCAATGTTTGCCATTTTCTCCGTGCTCTATGATTCCATCCGAGCGTCAAGATTGATTCCGAGAGCGCCTACTGTGTCACCCTCCATAAGGAGTATATATAATTCAACACCCCCACCCCCCCTTCCTTTTTTAATAAACATACACTTGTACTATTACCAGCTTTGAGCGACAAAGCCACCGGAGGAAAAAAATAAAATGACTTTGTCTGCTCTGGTGATGCTGGATTTGTGCAGCTTTTTATTCCCCTCAACGGTGCTGAGAACATAAGTCTCATGTTGTGCTTCATGCCGGGTTACTGCAGACTGTCACATGGCAAGGCACTGCCAGCTGAACAATCACCAACACCGATCCTGCCTGGCAATTGTCAACCTGTCAGTTCTAATGGCAACGGCAGACCAGATGCTCAGAGCAGAGGCAGGGCAGTACCTGAGCCTCGAGGAGGAGCCACTGCTGGGCTCTTGTCTCCCAGACTCTGAGTGCAGGCGCCGCTGTGCACCGTACCGTTTAGGAGAACAACTGACTTTGTCAAATAAAATCGTTGTTTATTTCCGAAACAGCGTCTGTTTCGGTGTGTGCGTGCACATGTGACTGAACGCGTCCACGCATGCATCCAGTCAGTGAGCGTTCCTGTCAGGCGTCTTCCCAACAACCGAGGGCTCACTGGGCCAGGCAGGACTATAGTCATTACATACACACTCGCGCACAAGCAGATGGCAAAACAGATGATCCTCGCTCGTCTCACTCATGACCGTCCATATTTATTTCATGGTTGCTGGCCCACACACTCCCCATGCCTATCACTTCTCCATGAGTGCCTTGGCACAGAGAAGACTGCCGATGCACACAAGTGTTTGGGAAACAAAATAGGCATGAAAAAAGAAGCAGAAAAACAAGTGAGAATGAACACAAGGAAAAGCTGTGAAACCGATCCGACTCACCCAACGGGCGCCCGTCAAAGATGCTAAACAACTTGACATTGATCAAAAACAACAGCAAATCCATGTGTTGTTTGTGAGCCTGCGTTCATGACTAAGGCTCTGGTCGATGACGGCTGACGTGATTTATACCTCTTCTTGGAGTGCCAATAAATTCACCATCAGATTGACCCGGTGTAGAACCGGACAGAACGCCTCTTCACTCACCGGCTTTGATCTGCTGCTATTTACCCGGGAAAATGTGCGCTCTATTCTCCCACAAACACCCGTATATTACAGCACACCTCTATGGACTGGAGCGCGGCCGACGCTAGAAAAGCCACACACACAAAAAAGCTCTGCGCTGCTGGCGTTTAATGAGAGGTGCTACGACAAGAAGCCATTTTTAAATCCACTTGACCGACTCAACACGGACCGTGTGACATCAAAGCGTCGCTGCTTTTGCTGAGACGGTAAAGTTGGACCTTTCACCTGCTGTCTTCATTAATGCTCCACTTCTTCCCCTGTTTTATGTCCACATGTGTGCATTAATTGGTGGCTCTATTCTGCCACCGTCATCACATCTTACCTGGGTCTTCAGCTCAACCCGTTCCTTGTCCTCTCCTCTGCTCCTTTATTCTTGATGTCTCCACAGATCCTCCACGGCCAGGCTGCAGCTCTGGCAGCAGTCCTGCACGGAGGAGGAAATTTAGGTTAATCATAGGAAGTGACAGAGAGGTGTCCCCCAGGGCCAGTGGCTGAGTGAGCAACTCAATTAAGAGCAAACAGTCACAGACAGGGCCACCCATGCAGCTCCATCTGAAGCTTTGGGGGAAGAGAGGAGAGATATCAGCCAAGTCCTGTCTGCCCGCTCTTTACTGTCCCTGGGCCGACGGTGGATTCAGCACTGGCTTCGACAAGGTTCAACTGGGGGATGAGGAGGTTTGGGTTGTTTCACATGATTCTCCATAACTCCAGGAGGGGTTGAGGCACATACAGCTGAGCAGATAACAACTTTGTCTCCTTTACATGTGAACCCAAAGGACAGGAAAGGGCGGCGACGGCAGGAATCATAAACATCAGTTAAACCTCTGATTCCTTCACTCGGGGCGGGAGACGGGAGGCGGGGTGAGTTTAGTCACCAGGGCAGATTGTGACCTCACTGTTAGCAGTTTCTCAGAAAGAGCCAAGAGGAATAGATAGCTAGCTTTATCAAGGTTAAGAAAAGGGCCCTTGAATCAAGGTGCTAATATTTCCAATAGCAACGAGCAGATAAAAACAGCTGGTGCTTGTGGCGTAACACAGCTTCTGATTTGTTTAACTCAAGGACAGAAGACAGGTGAAAAAAGGTGTGTTGCCAGAGTAACAGAAAAACGTGGTGTTCACTCTGACCCTGGGTTCCTTTTTCTCCATGACATGGTCACATGTCTGTGCACAGACTCATATATAATTGAATCCCGAGAATATTAAAAAAGGGTTTTTTTGTATGTTTTTGTTACAACTTTATGCCACTTGGTATGTAATAATTGAATATTCTTCTGCTTCTGGCTGAGCAGAAAAACAGTTGAGGACAAAGGGCGTCGTCGTCAGCCGTCTGTTTTCTTGGGGAAGTAGATGTGACGGACCATTAGGAGTGACGGTGTGAAAGGAAGTCTTCACCACAGACCATGAAGAGAGATGTTTTAACGGAGGCAGAGGTGGATGTTTTCAGACGACGGGTGGAGGTTTGTGATGCACCCGAAGACAAAGACCAGGATTCTGAAAACCCCAGCTCTGGATGTGCTTTGACAGGTGCATTATACAGACGGTGCAGCCACTCCATTACATTTCTTTTCATCATCTGTAAGACCATAATATTAAGTTCCTTGCTGTGTGGGCGAGACTCACGGGAACATTATCAGGGCTCTCTCACCCATTACAGCCATAAACATGCTCACAAAGTAGAGCCCCACCGAGGCCGGAACCCTGGAGTGGAGCGGAGTCTGGATGGTGGTGCAGTTGTACGTCTTGTAAATCAGTCTGCTAACATTTGTTTGTGTCGACACCTGTTTCTTCATCACACTGATGATGTGGACATGAGAGCATTTCAAAAAAATGTTTATATCATTAAATATATGTGGCCAACAAGCTGTGTACAGTTGTGTATTTACATTCAGATCTTGGCAAACGGGACGATATAAAGAGTTGGTTCACACTAATACAAAATGAATTTAACTTGAAGTCATTGACATCTGTAATATATGTTGACCCAAACTTGTCAGGTTGAACCACCTACACAAAAATAAGAAACTTAAATGTTGACCCAAACTTGTCAGATTGAAAATACTTTATTTTTTAATTCCTTCTTATTAAAAAATGTGACACCTACAACCACCTACACAAAAATAAGAAACTTAAGATAATTGTTTTGTTTTTTTTAATATTTGTTGCAGAAAGAAAATTATAGTCAATTCTTGCTTTAAGAAAAATGAAGGTGCTTAAAAATGTCTGTGGTCTGTGGTCGCCTCATCTGGTTTCTTTATGCACCATGTGACAAACTTAAAAAATATACGTCAGATCAAGATCAGACCCTCCGAGTTTTCCAAAGACCACGTGACTTTAGAATTGTTAACAGTTTCAATAACCAAAAGGAAAAGTGAGCGTTGCTCAGTTCCTCGCTGTTGTCAAAATACCACTGAATAGTTGTCAGATTGTACTGACATACACAGCCGTACACACAAAGGATGAAGTAGCCCAGTCAGTAGCTGCTGGGAGATCATGCAAAATCACAATAAACGTATTTAAAAAGTATGTTCTGTTTATATACGTAAATATACATTTAAGGTTTTCAGTGCAGACAGATTACTTTGGCCTGGTTCCGTTCACTCTGCCTTGTTTTTCCCAGCACTAGTTGAGGTGAATTCAGAGCAGTGTTTAAGGATAAACAAAGTAAAACAGCATTAAAATATTTTCGCTGATGAATGTAAAAAAATGACTCTGATTACATGGAGGGAGGTTGAATCCATGTGACCTCCTGTTACTTATGCCCTTATAATCTTATTACTCCGCCTGATTAGCATTGACCATTTACCCTCACCTACCATTTCCTGACGCCATTTGCAGGCAGTTGTTCAACTAAAACCAACGTTGAGGAATATTTAGACTCTAAATGACTCCGTGGAGGGTTGTAAACACCATTATCCTCTGTTGAAATATGATTTTTTGGAGACATGCTGCAAATATAATAACAACAAAGGCAGTAATATGTCAACGCACGTCACCTATGAGTTCAGTGGGTCCTGCTGCTGTGGCAGGAAGTAGGTCACGCTGCCCTGACCTGAAGATTCTCCAAAAAGGATAATGAGCCTGATGGCTTCCCAAATGAGTGGCGTGGGCGGCAAAGGGTTCAGTACGATTGCAACATAATGAGCCACGTTCTTTCAACAAAAAGCCACAAGAGTTTCCTTGTATTTTCTGTTTTTAAATTTACTTCCTTAACCAAACTAATTTTAACCAAGGAAGAAGTGCGTAGACAGAACAGAGTTCAAATGTGCAAACAGCCTTAAGCGTGAGCACACACACACACACACACACACACACACACACACACACCCACACACCAGGAGTGTGTAAGAGTGGTAAGAGTGAGCATAAACAATAAGAAATGCAACACCGGCTGACATTTTGAGGTTAGCATCGTTCTCTTCTTTATCTCCGGCGTTCCCTGATTCGCTGCGGAGGCTCAGAGGGTCAACGTCTGTTTGTCCGTGGAGGTAATTAAAAGCGGCGCACAGAGCAACAAACAAGACAACATATCTGCCGTATTAAATCTCTTCTGAAGGGACAGGCCAGGAGGAACGTGTCAATCACCCTACAGCCCCTGTCCCCAGTGTTAGTCCTGCCCAGGACACACAGGAGGTGGACGGTGGTTGGACATGAGTCCATCAAAGACGGCATCTGCCCCGAGTGAGCAGCGAACAAAGGAAGGTCTGAGGAGGACACCTCTGATGGGGGAAGAAAGTCTCTTTGTATGTGTGTGTGGTTTGTGTTGGTGTGTGTGTGGTGAAGATAAGAGGTGGACAGGAAAGAGAGGAGAGTGGACCACATCACAGGGGTTTTCAAGTACATCCTGTCAAGGCCGCGACACCGAGCTCGTGGTGACACGTGGTGTCCTCCACCACAGGCGTGTTGTAAACTCTCCACGACGACAAGGAACTAAAATAAGAGTTGTTTTGTGTACTGTATATGTTTTTTTTTCTGTGGAGTTTTCTTGAACTGTGACATCACGAGTGGCAGAGCCGTAGAAGAAGGGCAACAATAACTCCATGGACAGTGTTACTGTCAGTGTGTTGTTGTTGACCTTCTGTTTTTTTATTATTATTATTTGACAACTTCTGGCTTTGTTTTAAACCATAGAGAAAAATCAATGTTCTTAAGGCCCCACTTGGACAAAACCATTTGAAATTAATGAGATAAATGCAAATCACATGACCTACAAAGACTACAAATGGTAATTCAAACAAAGGGGATTCTGACTAGGTGGGAATGGAATGTAACACGAATACGAGGTGTGTATTCTGGTCATGTGATTTCAGCCCCGCAGTTAAACAACAATCAACAACAGTCCTCCGATGACGACGAGTTGAAACTGTGTTTATCATAACAAAGGAAAAACCTGCATCCTCCCAGGATACCTTCAGGGTCACTCCCACCTCCTCCCACCTCATCCACAACCAAAATAAAACTGGTGAGCACTTCCCCACGTTGTAAAAAAAAGTTTGTCTGCCAATGATGCCGACAATTAGAGTGTAAAGAATGATGTTTTCACCCAGATCTTGTCTTCACTCCACGTCTCTTCAGAAAGCCTGTACCACGCCGTGTCCTATCGCTAACACAACCAAACGTAACAAACCAGTGACCCTGCACATGCTTTGCTGTTTGTGGTACTGCGAGGGCACCGGTGCTGTACACAGACTGTATATACAGTATATTCACCCAGTGACAATGTCTGGCGCCTCCTGGACCGTCCAGCTATCAATCACATTCCTGTCCACTTACGTGTGTGGCATACTGTTTGTTCTATCTAAAAGGACCTGGAAAGTTTCGCAGTGACTCCTGAAGCCAGCTGGGTACTTCCAGTGTACAGGAGGATAAGGTCTCGGTCTTGTGTCGTGTATGTTCGTACAGGAGTTGGTGATTCATTTTCCCATAGGGGCCGCATGGGAAATTGGAATTTAAGAGGGCCAGAATAATAAACTTAATTAAGTTCTGCCCAACAGTGTGTGTAAATAACAAGGTGTGTATTAGAATAGCAGAAGGACGGTGGAATTATTGGATGTACAGTGTGCGTCATTCTGCCCCACTGAAGCCCCAAACTCTCTCTCTCTCTCTCGACCCCGTCTCATTATGGTCCGCCCAGAGAGGGACATATTTGCAAAGGGTTTTTTTCTTACGACATTGTTTTAGTCCTGCGGCGTCGAACCGAACGTTCTCTGACAAACTTCCCACCAGAGAGTGTGGTAAAATACAAAGCTGCTCCAACACATTAGCTGACACATCTGAGTGAAGTGGCATTAATGCACTGATTGAACAGACGTAAATACAGAAACACAACCAAAGAAAATGCCTTCAAAATAAAAGCTTTGCAGTTGTATTTTCTGCACCCACCACACTGTAAGAGGTATCAATCAATAAGTTACAATTTATTTTGAT